GCAGGCCCAATGGATCCAGCCCCCTAAAGCCCAGCATGGCCCCAGGCATTCCTCTGCAGCCCCCATGGATCCAGCCCCCTAAAGCCCAGCATGGCCCCAGGCATTCCTCTGCAGCCCCCATGGATTCAGCCCCCTAGGCACCAAGAATTCCCCTTCAGCTTCCCCTCTCCCCATGGTACCAACCCCTCCAGATTTTACCTGCAGCTCTCCATTGTTGTGGAACTAGTGCGCTCATAATGCTTACAGCTCCTTTAGAAAACCCATGTGGGTTCCTTCACGAAGTCAGTCTTACTGTATCCCACTCACTTCATATGTGTCTAGCAGTACACAGTATGTTTTACATTCACTTTTATGTCCTCATTAAATTCTTGCACTGTTGTATGCCACTCAAAATTTTGGGCTCTGAAATTGAGATAATGAACAAACCAGTCTGTATGTGTTGTCATATATATGTGCAACAAAGCCTGATAAACAATGGAGTCATAACTAATTAGTTTGTAAAGGCCTTGTTAAAAGCTAATTGGGAATCTCTTCTAGGTTGAGAAGGAAGATGTCAGGCAGGGTTGGGCAAAAGGGCCTCCGGATGCGGCCCGCCAAGGGGGCAGGGTAGAGGAAGCTTCATGTGCTCTCCCGCCCCCAAGCTCTGATTGGTCTGGGAGCAGGGGAGCATGAGAAGCCTCCTCCCTCCCTGCAAGGAGAAGTGCCGAGAGCACTCCTCGCAGGGCGAGGGTAGGCAGAGGAAACTTTGCGTGCTCCTCCTGCCCCCAGGTCAATCAGGGCTTGGAGGTGGGGGAGCACGTGAAGTCTCCTCCCTCCCTGCCAGGAGCCCTCAGCACTTCAAAGTGCTACATGCTCCTGGCAGAGCAGAGGAAACTTTTTGCGCTTCTTCTGCCCCTAGGCCCTAATTGGCCTGGGCGTGAGGGAGTGTGTGAAGCCTCTTCCCACCCTGCCAGGGACATGGGTGCTTAGTGGGAAGGGGGGGGGACAAAGGGGCTCTCCCACCCCCAGACCAATCATTGTCTGTGGATGAGGAAGCCCAGATGCATCCTGGGCCCACTCCCTTCCATTTTAGGCTCTGCCCCTTCCAGTGCAACCCAGGCCAAAAATTATTGCCCATCCCTGATGTGAGATCTACTCTAGTCCCACAATGAAGTGAATATGGTCTTCAGTACAATTAAAATCATGAAGCTGTCATTTGTCACACATTATTATAATACTTAAGAGAAGGATGTGTAGCTGAGATTAATGAAAGGGCTAGAAGATGTTTATCTCTTCTTTAAAACTTATATTAAACTACATATGGACACAAGTTTTTAAAGAATATTAAATACAAGTGTCCTATTGTTTTCTTGTGATCCAAAGTCCATTTTCATGGGAATGGAAATGGCATTGGAGCTGAAAATTTGGTGGTTTAGTGATGCTGAAGAGACCAATGTCAAATATGGACTAGTTAAAAGAAATATGCACTGAAGTATTATCAATCCTGATTTTAAAATCCATTACCTGGCATTTCTCCAGCTTTATTAGTGCTATTTCTAATTAGGGCTGTCAAGCGATTAAAAATTTTAATCACGATTAATCACTCGATTAAAAAAATGTAATTGTGATTAATCATGCGATTAATTGCATGCAACTCACCTTTGAAATGCTGTGGTGGCATTTCAATGGGGCAGCACTGCATGGAGCCAGGATCAGCTGGAGTTCCTAGCTGATCCTGGGCTCCATGCAGCGCTGCCCCTTGGAAGTGCCAGGGCAGTGTTTCCACGGGACAGCACAAGACGGAGCCCATGGCCAGCTGGAATCCCCAACTGACCCCAAGCTCCATGCAGAGCTGCCCCTTTGAAGTGCCATTTTGGTGCTTTAAAGGGGCAGCGCATTAGGAGCCGGGGATCAGCTGGGATCCCCAGCTCCATTTGCGCTGCCCCTTTGAAGTGTGGGAGCGGTACTTCAAAAAGGCAGCGCAACATTAACACTTGCAATTAACGCGTTAATTTTTTTAACACATTAGTCCTGTCCTCCATTAATCGCAGGTGTTAATGTAGGTCAATTGACAGCCCTATTTCTAATCCAATAGACTGAAACAGTAGTCTTGTCACTTCTTATCTTGACAGCATTACAGAATCCAAGACAGGAAGGCAATAAGTAGCGCACAGGTCAGACACGGTCACCAAACTTAACCCCTGGCAGGCTGTAAGGAGCCTTATTTTCCTGTCTAGGTATGGCTGTTTGCAGCTCCTGATGGCTGCTGTTCACCATTCCTGGCCAGTGGGAATTGCAGGAAACTAACCTTGGCAAACTGCATCTGACCCACAGGCCACTTGGGCTATGTCTACACTGCGCTGTTTTTGTGCAAGAAATATGCAAATGAGACTGTGTGGAATATCGCCGAGCCTCATTTGCATAATTAATGAGCAGCTGCTTTTTGGGCAAAAAAAGTGAAAAAATGGCTCTTGCACAAGAGGAGGGTTTTGCGCAAGAAGGAGCAGTGTAGCTGGCTCCTTTTTGCACAAAAGCCTCTTGCGCAAAAAGCGACCGCTCATTAATTATGCACATGAGGCTTGGTGATAGTCCATGCTTAGCCTCATTTGCATATTTCTTGTGCAAAACCAGCACAGTGTAGACATAGCCTGATAGTCCACCCTTGCTGTAAGACCTACGGAAAATTAATAAAATGATAGTATCCTCCTTTACAAGAGCTGAGTGTTAAACGTCTTTTTTTGGAAAGAAATAAGATCTTATGCCTCCTCAGAAAAGTGTTTCTTTCCATGAGAGTTATTTACTTCATGTTTTGATGCTGTTCTTAAACTTTGCTAAAGATTTATTACAGTATTAAGGTTGCTGCTTCTCCTTAGTTTTGCATGGGCCTTAGTATTATAACTTCAGTTATATCTTTCTTTTATTTCAGTCAATAAAATTGAAGTGGAATGTCTAATAAAGCTCTTCCACACGCTGGTAGTTGAACCCAGTGATCGGCATGTTGTTATTGGCTTAGATCGTAACATGTTCAGAAACATTCTGCATGTCACATTTGGGATGACAGATGACATGATTATGGACAGAGGTGAGATTAATTGATTAATAAAGACTGTAATTTTTGTAAAAGACAGCTAGGGATAACAGTTTCCAAAATGGTCTGTGAAGCACATCCTAGTGATCCTTAGAGTGTTCCCAGTTCACATGTTGTTGACTCCTTGTTGTTCAGCAAGAGCATTGCAGTGAAGAACCTTCATGCCTATAAATGTATCTGGAAAAAGAGAAGGGGGAGCTGCATGTATGTTAATTAACATCCTCCCCAAACAAAACACTGCACTGTATATCCTGCATCCATGACAATGAGAAAACAGATGTTACACATATTAGTTACATTGCTTAATGCACTACTAATAGATCCTCTTGAGCAATGATACTGCGAGCAGATGACATGGAGGTGTTGCTGAGCCAAAATAGATTTCTTTCTTTCACTAAGAGATAGGAGTGAGGGAGAAGTATTAACATTCAAAAATGTGCTTCCTTCCCAAACCCATCGGGTGAAGGGGGGTGGTTTGGGACTGCACATGCAGGAATCCCTTAGGGCTCAGAAGAGGGTACTGAGAAAGTACTGCAAAACAGGGTCTGACTAATTCACACACACACAGGTCTGAGGGGAGATATGTGAAGTATTCCATCACTGAGTCTGATTTCCCCATGCTAGGAATATGGTAACATCATCATATGTACTGAATGAGACATTGGTCCTGAAAAAAAATAGTACAGGAACATGTAATTGAAGACTGTATCATAATGCATGCAAAACCTGTATGCAAGATTCCTGTGGTAGTGGATATTAACTGTTAAGGCTCATATGGGTTTCAACAGAATAATTGATAAAGGGAACTTTTGCGATAGTGAAGCATATCAAAGCACACAAACATCATTAGCCAATTTTTTCATATTTCAACTCAATGAAAGAAACTGTTGCCTTTTTTTCATAGAATCATAGAAATGAAGGATTAGCAGGAACCTAAGTAGACCATGTAGTTCAGACTCATGCCCTGAGGCCAGAATTAAGTATCATCTCCACTGACAACTGTTTGACTAACATGTTCTTAAAAGCCTCTAATGACAGAGATTCTACAACCTCCTTAAGTAATTTGTCCCAGTGCTTAACTACCCTTACAGTTGTATTTCCCCTTAGTCTTCTTTTCTCCAGACTAAAAAACCCCAGCTTTTTCAGTCTTTCCTTATAGATCATGGTTTCTAGACCTTTAATCATTTTTATCTCTCCTGGACTGGCTTCAATTTGTCCACTTCTTTCCAGAATTTGGTGCTGATAACTGAACAGAGTACTCCAGGTGAGGCCTTTCTAGTGCTGAATAGAGAGGAAGAATTGCCACCTACAAGTTACTTACAACACTCCTGCTAATACAGTCCAGAATGTTTTCTTTTTTTGCTACAATTTTATTCTGTTGAGTCTTCTTAGTTTGTATTTCACCATAACCTCCAGATCCTTTTCTGATGATCTCTTTCCTAGGCAATCATTTCCTCCTATATATTTGTGCAATTGATTATTCCTTCCTACCTCTTGTCCTTATTGAATTCCATTCTGTTTATTTCACACAATTTTTTAAATTTTGTCAAGGTCATTTTGAATTGTTTGGCTTTGCATTATCCCTCCCTAAGTATTATATTTTCAGCACATACAACTTTTCTTCTCTTTTCAGTGTTCCGTGCTTTTGACAAAGACAATGACAGCTGTATCAGTGTAACAGAATGGGTAGAAGGTTTATCAATATTTCTTCGAGGAACACTAGAAGAAAGAATAAAATGTAAGGTTTATGTGTATGTCAGTTTTTAGTAATAATTCAATTTATGACTATTTAAATTAGGGATGTTAGATATAGATTATTTAAGTAATCGTGAAGCTGCAACAATTTTTAGCAGTTACATGGTTACTAAAATGTTCCCCGGGAGCGGGACTGGCAGCCAGTGCACTCCAGGCCCCACTCCTGGGAAATTCCCTGCTACCCTGCACTGCTGCCTCTGACACACGGGGTGCCAGGCAGAGCCAGTCTGTGAAGGGAGCTAGTTTAAAAATCCTCCCTGTCAAGGGGAGGCCCAAGCGCCCTGTGAACAGAGGCTGCTCCATGGGATGCCAAAGCAAAATCTGGCCACAGGGAACTTGGGCCCCCCCATGGATGTGGTCTGCTGCTGCAAATCAACCCGTCTGCAGCAAGTCCGGGCTTGCCGTGGACAGAGGCCTGTCTCCATGGCAGCAACTCCTGTTGGCGGGAGGCCCTAGCTCCCCATGAACAGAGACAGCTCTGGCATCCCTCCTGCAGAGGCAGCAGCACAGGTGAGGGGGGGACAGGCAGTTCCGTGGAGCTGGTGCTCATGGGGAGCCCGCTTTTAAGCCAGCTCCCCCCAAGCACTGGCTCCCACCTCTTCCCACTTGCTGCCTCTGATTCAGAGGAAGCAAGTAGGGAAGTGCATATAGTTGTTATAATTAATGATAAGCCCAGGCTTATCAGATAGTTGTTTAAACATCTATATGCTAACATCCCTAATTTAAACCTACTTTTTAAATGCAACTAATACAAATCATCTGCTGTTATAAAATTCAGGATAATTGGAAGGTTTTCCTTTTAACAATTTCATGTTAGTGGATTAAGTCCTTCAAAGCTCATTGCTATTGGAATTTTGTGTTTTCCATTTCTGTGCTTGTATTTGAGCATTCAGACCTTACAAAAGTCTTTATCAAGATAGTAAAACCAAGAGTTAAGACATTTTAAGGGCCAAACTGGGCCATGTGAAATGCTGTTCATGGAGCCTCACTGAGACTAAGTGCAGAGAAGTCCAGAAGCCACATTGTCTTTTAGCCATACTGGTGAAAAAGTCAGCCTAAAATGATGAAATTGTTACTTTGAACCATAGCCTTTAATTTAATTTTAAAATCTCTTTTAGATCTCTTTAAAGAACTCTTTAAAATTTCTATACAGGCAGTCCCCGGGTTACATGGATCCGAATTACATCAGATCCCTACATACGAACGGGGCTTTTCTCGCCGCGGAGGACGCGGGCGGCGGGACTGCCCAGATGCACCGTGGTCCCGCCACCCGTGTCCTCCACGGCGAGAAAAGCTGCTCCGCGTCTCCCTGGTCTGCTGGGGGGGCCCCCCCCAGCAGACCAGAGAGACGCAGAGCAAAGCTGCGGAGACGTGAAATGCTTTTTATCGTATCCTGACTAAATCCAAAGCTTTGCTGTGGGGCTGGAACACACAAATTCTACTAGCCTGGGCCCCCTAGACTCTGGTGTGTGAGGGGAATGTGGGGAGTGTCCTCAGTGTCTGCTGGGGGCGGGGGGGCGCAGCTTTTCTCTCCAACCCCTGGGGTAGAGCAGCTGGGGGGGTGCCGGGGTGGGGCCC